CTTCGTCCTCCTCCTCTCTCTCTCTCTCTCTCTCCTCCTTGTGGGTTGATTGATCAATGACAGCCGTTGACATAGGGTACGCGCAGTAGGTAAGGCAAGGTGACCTTCTCCTGTTAACCGCGCTGTATGCTGCAGGGTACCGTACGGTACAAGTACCTCCGAGGAGGAATATCTTAATATAAATAGGGGCCGATATACCTTCCTCCTACCCACGGCCTTATTATTACTCAACATTGTGTCCTTCGCCGACAGGGAGCGAACCGCACGATAACTACCGGTACCGGTTTCGCTTGCCCTGTGGAATAGAAAAAGAAAAAAGGAAGGGGGAGGCAAACAAATCAGGAACATTTACAGTAATCCCCTGGTCGGGCCTTTAGCCTACAATACGGTACTGTACTCATTTCGCTTACTTATTGCAGCTACGATATTGCGGTACCTCCACGCGTGCAACAGAGCAGCTGGCAGAGCTTCCTTCCCCGGGCTACTGGGTTGTCTGTTGTCCAACCCAAGGAACTGCCGTGGCTCAACCATGCAGCTTCAAGTAGTGGGCGGAAGATCTTGGCACACCCCTCCATTTTTGCACCAAAAGGATCTTGTTCGATAGGCGTTCATCAGCAACTTTCGGCACAGATAGGGATGCGTTAGTAGTCAGATCGGGGCAAGAAATCCATTGGGATCTATCATCTGACAATTTTCTTCCCATCAAAAAAGTGTTGTCGAGAATTGTCGAGGGATGTTTTGTCATCGGGTTAGCGGTACTTTCCATTTTGCACGAGTTGCACACAAGCACGACACAACACCGCAGCATTATAACAATGCAGCGCTTTACATTTGCAATAGCTTTCGACCAATACAACCTAAGCTCCCAAGAGCTCTCTTCAATAAAATTCCATGGAGAGTTCCCGCCACCAGCAAGACTATAAGTAAGGATTACCCCTATCGTTTACTTAACAAAACATCCTCACTGAGGTCCCGAAGTGGAACACTCCTGTTACACGATATCATATCATAAAATCGGGAGGGGGGGTGCCAAGATCTTCCCCCCACTACCTATCGTGGTTAGCCACAAATAGTAACAAACATCCAACGACAAGAATTCTCAATTATCGCTTTCCTATCGAAACAGAAACGGTGGCTTGCACCAGCGCAGTACGGCACCGGTACTTTACCGCACGAGTTAGTGTTACCGTGCCTTGTATTTCATACTGGTACCCGTACAGTACACTGCGGGCAAGAAAACATCCCTGTATAGTACCGTGCGGATTTATTATCACTACAACGTACCGTATATCTTGCGAATCCCGGTTTCCGGGTATGTACTGTACGAGTACTAGTACTACTCGCCTACGGCACTATCATACGGTACTTGCACTCGAGCACAGTAAGAGTACCGTACTTACTGATAGCGCAACTCGATGAATAATCTGGCAGGAGCAGGCAACCAGGCAGGCAAGGGGGTAATAAGTACTTGTAGGCAAGGCAGTAATCAAAGGGGGACCATTCCTGTCACACTTACAAAGTAACATTTGAACCTTGAACAATTTAGAGTTAATTTCCATGCTCTTCTCTTCTCCTCCTCTCGCATCCCCCAGACCTTTATAAATAAATAAATCCAGAAATAAGAAGCACATCACATCAAGTATGCAGATTTGTCAAACCCCACTGTACCTGTATGTCCCTCCCACCCATCGGAACTCTTCCGAGAGTCGATTTCTACTTTCCTCCTACAGTGCAGTACAAATCTAACAAACAAACCACGATTCTTTCTCAAAATAGACCGATATCTATCTTGTCTGCAACAACCGCGGCAAGTTTCCTCTTCACCCGCGCCATACCGTATTAACTTGAATAAGAGCAACACATCTCGGGACGTCTGACTTGCCTATTTTGGTAGGGACGGGAGAAAATACCAGCAAAATAAAACCACGCGTTACCAAGAGGGGAAACCTAGACGTCCCGAGCGGTGTTGCTCTTATTCAAGTTCATACGGTACAATATACCGGCGCAGCCTATATTATACAAGTATTATTATCCAGATGCGCCCAACGCTTTCCCAACGCTTGACCGAAACACCTCGGAAACAAACTTGAACCCCGCCCCTCCCCCCTCGCTTCCACATTGAGGAAATTCGAACTGTCGACCTACTGTAATGGGTTACTGTATCATATATATGCATACATGCATACATACAGTACATACTTGTGTACCAGGTA